TTTATTCTCCTGCCTGTTCACCTTCTTGTATTCCAAAAAATCATGTATGTTTCACCTATACACGCTACATGTTTGATAATATGTTTAAACCTGTTGAACTTCCAATCAAGTATTGAAAATATCTCACATTACTTCAAATATATATCCTGAAATGTGCCAGTACAAGTGTTTGCCAATTATGAGAATAATTGTGTATTCCAAATGAAGTAAGAAGTAACAATGGAACCCTGAATAGAACGTTTTTCTTTGTTTGGTTTCGTCCTCTCACCTCCCACGTACAGAGGGGCGTCCCCGGCCCCCCGCTGGCTCCGGCCCTCCTGGCTGTCCAGGGTCGTCGGCTCGCCTCCGTCCACCGACAGGTTCAACATCCGGTTAAAGGTCACCAGCTCCACCGTGTGAAACAGACCGTCGTTCACCGTCTCAGTGCTGCAGGAACAGAGCGTAACATGTGTTGGTGCTTTCTTTGGATTACATTTGTTGTGAGGATAAATATTTGTACTTTTTGGATGTCAAACCAAATATTTATAATTCACTCTGTTTCAATATTCCCTGGACAACAGGCAGCTACACTTTGAAGACTTTCAGTAAGTAAATGATTTATTATTATTTGAATGTTTGTGTGTAGCAGTTTTCAGTAGGTTACAACACAGTTAATCATATTTAGTTTGATTTCTTTTTATATTATTGTTAAATGTTACATTATTTCTTTATATATTATTTCCTAATTTATTTTACATCACATTACATAGTTGTATTTATTTATCTAATAAAATGCTTCATTTGTTTTTGTCAAAAAGACTCCTTTCGTGAAGTGTTTAATTATCGCATGTTTTTTTTTGTTTTTTTTAAAGTACTCATGTTAAATAACTGTGATCTCAACAAACAAAACAATCATGATTATATATTTTTGTAATAATGGAGCGGTGCTAATTTAGACTAATTAATATTTTTTTTATTATCTCAAGTTCTCTGTTTTCTCACCACTTCAATCCTTCTCAGACGATTCTCCGAATTCTCAATCTCCTCTACAGCAGCTGTTTATCACACAAATAGCCTCAGTGTGTGTGCGTGTGTGTGTGTGTGTGTGTGTGTGTGTGTGTGTGTGTGTGTGTGTGTGTGTGTGTGTGTGTGTGTGTGAACCATCAAAACATTTAAGCCCTCCACACTGAGTGGACACTCTGCTTCAAGTGTCCTCCGGCTGCGTCTGTGATTCAACCAAAACACACACACACACACACACACACACACACAGACACACACACACACTCACATACACACACACACACACACACACACACACACACACACACACACACACACACACACACACACACACACACACACACACACACACACACACACACACACACAGTAAGTGGTGTTGCTGGGCTACAGTGAGCTGAGAGGCCGCTGAGGGCCTGAAGAGTCCGGTGTATCGCTGGGCTCACGAACACTCAGCTTTTTAAATCTGATGTGGAGAACAAGTTAATCACCCTGAAGCTGCTACTGGAGACAGGAAGTGTGTGTGAGGGCGTCAGCAGGTGTGTGTGAGGGAGATAGTGCGTGTGATATTAAACCTGCTGAGCTGCTCAGGATCAGCACATGGCGCAGAAAAGGTTGGACACCTGAAGTCTAATTTCCTACTTGGCTTCAACTGAACCTTTGTTTCCTGTGTGTGAAGGACCTGCCTGATTCAGAGACATCTGGCCGATACATATGCCGGTAATATAAGTGAATATTGTCAGACTTCAAATTCTCCGTAGAGTTTAATGCCTTACTTCACTTTGTTTCCGGAAGCTTGTTCGGATTTGGGCTTGCTTCACTCTTCAAGTGGTCCTTTCTTCAGGAAAACAAGTGTATTTTTGTTCTAAATCTTATCCAATTAGTTTGGCGTCTACCGTTTTCGGTTTGTTTTAGTTTTTTGGAGCAAGAAGTGACAATATTTGGACGAGAGGGTCACCATGATAGCTACCTGTCAATCAAAAAGTACCAACCACTTAGAGCAAAACCTGCTTTCACGTCTCTTGGGACTATCGAAAGGGAATAATTAACTGAATGAGAAAAACTTGAAATTAGCAATTAAGATATCACGTAAAAAAATGCTTACAAAGTTAATAACTCAAGTGAGGAGTGAGGAGGTCATTTGTTCACAGACTTCTAAACAATCAGACTTATTTTTGCAACCAGTGGAGTCGCCCCCTGCTGGCCGTCAGAGAGAATACAGGTTAAATGTACGTCAAAATATAACTGATACATATCATTTGGATACAGCAGGTCACTGTGTGTGTGTGTGTGTGTGTGTGTGTGTGTGTGTGTGTGTGTGTGTGTACCTGTAGATAGTGGTGGCAGGCTGATTTCCCGGGTCATATGTGACTCTGACGTGACCCTGATGGAGCTCCACAGCGAGTGGCTCGTTGTCTCCGTTGTAGAGCAAGATACCGTTATCCTCTGCTGTTGAGACCTGAAACACACACACACACACACACACACACACACACACACACACACACACACACACACACACACACACACGGACACAGACACAGACACATCTTCCACCCTGCAGCCATCATTTAGTGGTTTGTGTTCAGAAAGTGTTTTGGATGTGTAACACTAGAAATGACATGGGAAGACGCAGTAAGACAGAACACTGTCCAGAGGTCACTGTGTGTGTGTGTGTGTGTGTGTGTGTGTGTGTGTGTGTGTGTGTGTGTGTGTACCTGTAGATAGTGGTGGCAGGCTGATTTCCCGGGTCATATGTGA